AAAGGAATCTACTCAATGTGAGAATTAGCCATAGAGGACATAAGATTTTTACCAAAAAAAAAAAAAAAAGTTGTGGAGGTGAAAAGTTGACTTTTAGCTAAAATTATGAAATATCAAATTTATCTATTGTACAAATATTCAGCTTTTGCATGGGGTGAAGTGTAGAGAGAGCTAAAACTTTCTCCAGGAAGCAGCTCTGAATCAGCTCATGTGACAGAATCTATTATCTTATATTTTAATGAGTCTTCTATTGAGTCTTAGCCCCTTCTGGATATGCAAGAAAGAAAAAATGCCTTTGAATACTATATAGGTTTAGGTTTAAATTTGACTTCCCATATTTACCAACTGTGAAAGACGGGATTATTTAACTACTTTAAGCCTCGTCTACCTAGAGTGTCAAATAACTACAAAGGCTGACTTGTTTAGGCACCTGTGAGTTTTTATTAAGCTGAAAAAGCATCAGAAATAATGAATAGTTGTCACTGTTTGACAGCAAAGCACATGCACTTTGCTATCTGTGTCCTAAGTGTCACCACTCTGTCTAATATCAAAAGCATGTAAACTGCATATGTCATTTAAAACTTTCTTGGTCGCATTAAAATATTTTAAGGTGAGATTTATATAATACTGTTGGCAACCCAACATATCCAAAGATTATTTCAATATGTAATTACTATAACAGTTATTAATGAGGTAGCTGCTTTTATTTTAATATACCAAGACTTTGAAGTCCGCTGTGTCCATCTCACTTCAGCACACCTCAGGCGAGACTGGCCATGTCAGTGTCCAACAGCGCAGGTGACTAATGGCTATTGTATAGGACAGTGCAAGTATATGTGGCTTAACATACAGTAGTTATTCAAGAGATGTTTTAGGTGAATAATGATGAGGACAGGGACAGCCAACACATTTCTCTTAGTCAGTACTTTGTTATTCAGAAAATGATACATAATTGAGTAGAACAGAGCAGTCTGCAGTATGTAGTTATTGATAATGTTTAAATGTTTTGTTATTTTGAACATGATCTTAGTCAGAATGGGTTTTAATGTATACATTATTAACTAGGTGTGAATAAACAAAATGTCCTTCTTTAAGAGCATAAATGGAGAAGCCTGAGTAAACTAGTCAAGTGATTTTCCTAAATGTAAAATAGAGCCATCTCAGTAAGTTCCAAGGTGACTTCTTTTTTTTCTGGTAATTTCCATGCTGCTTTTGTCTAGTTTTTATTTATTTGTCACAGGGGCATACTGATGATGATATAAATTTATAATTGTCTTTACAGATTTTGGAATTATCTTCTGTGGATAAATTTAGAATACCCCTGAGCGTAAAGTATAACTTTTAAGAATCCTTTAACCACAAAATAAATGAGAGAAACTTTCTTCTATCAGGATCCAGAAGTGGTTATTCCTGGTTCAGTACAATCCCAGATCAAATACAAAATGAATCACCTTATACACTTTAAACTTAGTCATTGTTAAATTATATCTCAACAACGCTTAAAAGGGAGTATCTTTGATATCAAACTCAAATTCTACTCCCCTCCCTCAAAAAAAAAAAAAAAAAACACTGGAAATATCTATTATTCCTGAGGAATAATGAAATGCCTGACGTAAAATTTCTTCACATTTTTGAAAGTATTTTAGTTTATTCTGGAGCTTCAATCAATGCCTTAAAACATAAAACACAAGGTACATAATTATTTGAGGGCAATAGCATGTAAGGAATCAAAATTAAATTAACTGAGTGTGAAAAAGGAAGTGCAAGCAAGTCAGTAAGGAATCATCCTTCATCTATTATGGTGGCAAAATAAATAGAACGGAAAGTATTTTTTCCTGTTGTTATAGATGAAAATATGTAAGTCTTTTTCAAAAATAATAAGCAGCATATTTTAAGAGGATAAATAGATTAAGTATTAAGTCAGCTCATTAAGTCAATTATTACCTCTCCAGAATTCTTTGGACATAATCTGATAAATATAGATAAGTATATTTCTTTACATGGAATAGCATTGTATAGTTATTTTAAATAGAGAAAAGTGGACAAGAACCTAAATGTATAAAACTAGAGTTTTAAAATAAATGTATAAATTTATAATATATTATTCCACTACTAATATGGGGTTTTTAAGATATTCTTAATGTCATGAAAAAAACACTCGTTGGATAATATTTATTTTGGGACAGTTTAGCTAATTATGATATTGGTAATACAACACTACTTTAAATCAAAAAATCTATAGAATATAATGATTAGTAAATATACTACTCTATAAGAGTGTTTGTTTCTTCATCATGGAGCAGATGCCACACTATTATGTGCGTGAGCTTCTCTCTAAATAAGTCTTACTTATTCTGACCTATTTATTTTACTCTATGCTAGTCCCCAAAATAGAATAAACTGTTCCTTTACTTTGAATTATGTGGCATTATGGGATTATCATGCAATGCACATCTTTGTGGAATCCTAGCAAAATTTTTATAAAAGTCAAATACATTTTAGAGTATTTTCTTTTCTCATACAATGACTACTCCCTCCTATAACTTCAATAGCCAAATAGTTTGCCAATGTAAAAATGAACTTAAAATATGTGAGGTAGAAAATCTAACAAATTTATGCATTTACTTTTGTGTGAAGCAATGTGAAAAAAGATCCTTATGCAAGAAGTAATTTTGATTTAAAAATTGTTATAAGTTCCAGTATTTGTTATATTTATTAGTGGAATAAAAGTTTCTTCACAGCTATTTTGTGTAATGCAAAGGTTTGTCTCAAGAACAGGAAAATGAATACTTGTAACCCTAATTATAAATTGAGAAGTTGTATTAAATATTAAGTGATGATTTTTCTTTTGTAGAGAGAAAAAAATGCATCAGGATTTATTGCAGTCATTAAATAATACATTAAAGTGACATTAAGGAACTTAGTTTTTCTTTTCCAAAAGTCAGAAATAATCCAAACTTTGGATCCCAAAAACTCCCCTCAAGGCACATTTAGACTAAACATTCTTATCACCACAGAATCAGCAACAGGATTTCAAAATTTTTTACTCAGGCCAGGGGAAGCACAATAGCAAGATAATTTACAAACACAGAAGAATGAACTGAAGACAACAAACACAACAGAAAATGATAAAGTTGATAGTATTTTTAAAAGCAAATTCAATAAATCAGAACATTCATGCAAGAGTATAAAAAAGGAACCAAATATTCGCTAAGTGCCTTAAAATTGCAGATGTTAAATGCTTTTTACACTGAGTTATGTATATAACTTACTGTATATGTTTTCAGTATATAACTATATAAGTATGTTAGTTAGAAGTTTATGCAAAATCAAATCATAGTTTGATAAATCATATGATAACTTTGCTTTTGCCTGTATTATATTTTGGGGGATTATTTTAGTGCTCTATATACTTTAGTGATTATTCTCCCCAAAAACTTAGGCTTCAGAAGTAATTAAGAAATGAAGACAAGTAAGTTTTTCCAAAAGAATATTTTATAATAAAAGGGCAACTTTTCCATCTCACATTAAAAAAAAAAAACAAAACACCTTTCAGTGGTCTAGTGAAGTGACTCCCTGGAAGGGCTGTGTGACTCTCTTGAGCTGATCTAGGTAAGCTGACCAGCAGCGCTGTACCACTGGCACTGCAGCTCACCTGAGCACAGCCCCAGCTCCTCTGAGCACAGGCCAGCTCACCTGAGCTCAGGTCAGCTCACCTGAGCACAGTCCCAGCTCACCTGAGCACAGGCCAGCTCACCAGGCCACCCCACCAGACACAAAAATTTGTTCCAAAGTGAATTGTTGGGCTATTTTCAACCATACAAAGAAAGTGAAAACAGCTAACTTACCTTGAAACCAAAGTAAGCATCAGGAGGAAGTGTGTAGTGCTTGAACCTAGCTCCTTCAACCATTGGGAAAATGTGAACAATTTCAGAAACTTAAGACACATAGAGGCTAAATTCCTAATGGTGTGTTGATCACAGGAAAGACAAGACCAGGCCTGAGACACATCTCCACAGAGACCAGGCTGTCCTAGCCTGGCTTCCATCTGCTTCCCAGAGCTCTTGCCTAGCATCTGTAGAACTTCTATCTGCTAACCATAACTTTGAAAATAGTCCCAAAACTTTTAGCAACACAGATACACTTCCCTTCCCTCTCCATGTGCCTTCTCTTCCACAGAAGCAGCCTCCCTCAAGTGTATGCCTATCATCTCTTTCTTTATGCATTTACACACAGAGATATGGCTGTGGATAATCAGGAATAATGTGTACTTGCACAGGCCTATATAATTACTTTCCATAAAATCATATATGCCAGGCAGGTGAGCTTTACATTTCTGTTCGTATAGGTATTTCATGCTTTTATGGACTTTCCTATTGTCGAAATTATGCAGTCCCCCAATTTAGTAATCAGGATCCTACTGATACTCAGTTTCCCATTATTTTTTGCTGTTTCAAACCATGGTGCAATAACATTCTTATAAATATACATTTGTGTGTATTTGTGAAAATTTTTGAAATGCACATTTTCGATTTTGACAGATTACTGTCAACTTGTCAACCTTAAAAGCTGTACCAGACATAAAGCTCTACCAATTTATATTTCCATCAACCATGTATGCAAGTATCAGTTTTCAAACTGTTTTACCATTGTAATTGATCATATTTTCATTTCCAGTTCCAAATCTAATTAGCGAAAAGTGAAATCTTGTGATCGCATTTATTTGCATTACTGATTACTAATGAGTCCTTTACAAACCCATCAGCATTTGTTACTGAGAATTCCTGCCTTTGTCCTTTATCATTTTTTATTATCTTTTTTTGTCTTGTGACTCATAAGGACTCTTTATGTAAAAATATTGAAATTTTATTGCAATAAATGGACTTTTCAATCTGTCTTTTATCTATGCTTGGTATGACTTTCTTGTAGTCAATGTATATTAACTTAGCAGCCAGAATTACCCTTTTCTTTATATTTTTGTCATTTGCTCTCTCCTTTAGGAAGGACATACTGTAGTAGACTCTCCTGATCTGTGGACAGCCCTATTCACCTGGTCCTGGCATTCCAGTCTTTGTGAAGGACTACTCCCTGGAGCTATGGTTCAGGTAAGACAGACTCCACTCTGATTCTGAGGTTTGACTCAGCAGTGAACATTGCCAATGACTGAACTGCATCCCAAGATGCACGAAGTTGGATGGACCATCCGAGCCAAGGAAGAGCAAGGTAAGGTCATCTTGAAGCTTTTGTGGTTACATGTGCTAAAGAGGAAAAATATTCACTGGTGTCCTTGTCTGGTTGGTTGTGAGGCTAGAACATCTTCTGGCCATCTTGTCAACCTTCAGTATCTCGCCTGAAAATAAATCCTACACAAAAGGAAGCAATGCAGAAACACGTTCGTGATGCATAGGTATCAATGGGGAGGAAGCTGGAGCTACCACTGGGCTTTCCAGGTGAGTGAACACAATCTTAAATTGTTACATTTTTAGACTGCCAGCTTGAATACTGTTCCATTCTGCATGGGATTAAAAATAACGACCAAACTTCCCTAACACATTTTCCACCTAAATATATATTTTTTTAAAAAAATCTATTCTTACCTCTATAGTTTCATAAATTTGTTTCCTCACTATGTTTTCAGTATAAAGTCTTTTAAAAAATATTACATAATAAAAAAGTGAGGTAGCAAAATATGTTCTCAATTTACTAAGATACACCAAAAATGTGTTTAGAATATCTTTTTTCTTCCAATTTTATTGATTTGTCAATCATTTATATAGCTGTATGATTTTTTGTATTTAAAATTAACATTTTTAATGATTAGTTGTTTTTAAAGTAAAGCACAAATTATGAAAATAAAACATCTATCAGTGCTATGATTTAATAGTCACCTACATTCAACTTTTTGTGGATGTTATACTTTTACTAAAATTCACCTACATTGCTGAACAAATATTTGCACAAACATATATCATTATTCTATCTGGGTGTATGGGTGTAACTCCTTTCAGATGGACACTGCCCCCCATTTTTATAAATGTTTTACCTGAGTTTTTTTTTTTTATTGGAACATAGCCATTCTGATTTTTTAATAGCACTTTCTATTATTTATACTTATATTCCTTTTACCTTTTTTTACCCTCTACCTAACGTGTAACAAATGTTTACAACATTTTCTCCATGTTGAAAATATTGTTATTGATGTACATAAGCACACATTAAATGATTTTGGGACACAGGGAGCATAGCATACTCTCACCAATTTAAATGTTACCAATTTAAATGTTGCCAATATAAACATAAGTCATTTAATTGTTATTTTTATATTTTAATACTGAAAGAGACCATATTTATGGAAATCTGTGGCATATTTGCATTTAAATAATTAATGTAAATGCATTAATGTTCTCTACCGATTTTGTTTGAATTGCATTGGCTTTCTTAAGAGTTCTAGACATTTATTTAAATATATACTTTGATACATCAAGTCCCTCTAAATAATATGTTGGTAAATATACTTCAACCTAGTGTTTAATTTGTATGATGAAATTTCTCGCATTTTCACATGTATTTTATTTTGCACACAAGTTTTGAAGAAACTAGAGGATTGTTTACCTGCTGTTGAGATTTGGAGTGGTAATTCACCTGTCTAAGGTATTTACTTTGACTTTTGCATGAGTTAAAGTCATGCGCCTTTTATTTGCCTGTTTCTTTGCTTGCATGCCCGCCTTGGAGTGCAATGGCTGGGACATGTATATTTAATGTCTTACGAATGTAACAAACTAGTTTTCAAAATATGTTTACATAAAAGTGCAGGTTTCCTTTGGAATTAGTGTTTTTGTGCTCTTTGGAGAGGTATGTAGGAGTGGAATTTCTGGGTCATATGGTAAATCTGTTTTTAGTTTTTTTTAATAATCTCCACACTTCTTTTCATAGGCTGGACCAGTATGTTCCTCTGTTGGTGGGAATGGACTTTTTTTAAAATTTAATTAAAAGAGCTACTTTCTATATTTCTTCTAGGGAAGGTCTAGTAGTCAGAAACTCATTCAGCTTTTGTTCGTCTGGGAAAGTCTTTGTTTCTTGTTGCTGAAAGTATGTTACAGGATATAGTATTCTTGGCTGGCAGTTTTTTCTTTGAGTATTTTGAATATGTCACATCACTGTCTTTTGGTCTATAGAATTTCTGCTGAGAAGTTTGATGATAGCCTGATGGGAGTACCTTTATAAGTAACCTTTCTCCCCGCTAGTTACTTTTAATTTTCTTGCCTTGAACTCCTGATAATTTCACAGATACGTAACTTTGAGTAGGGTCTTTGCATTTAGATAACCAGGAATACTGTTAGGAGTTTCGTGAACCTTTATATTCAATTCTTTCCCCAGGTCTGAGAAGTTATGAGTCATTATTTATATGATTAAGAGTTCTGTTCCATTCTATCCCTCGTTAGCTTCTAGAGTAGCCCTTATCATCCTGTTGCCTTTCCGACGAGAATCTGATAGATCTTATAGCATTTCTTTTTCTTTTTATGTATTTTATTTCTCTCTAGTATACCTGGGTCATTTCCATGTTTCTGTCTTGAACCTCACTGATTCCTCTATTAGTCTATTCTGCTTCCACAGTTTTCAATAGCACTATGGATCACACTCACTGAATACATCATATCCTGGATCAACACTAGTTTCTTACTTAAACAGTCAGTACCTTCTCCACATAATTTTATTCCTAAGCTCTTTGAGTTTTCTTTGCTTTCTTTGACATGCTTTTCTGAGTTCTCTTGTATCTATTTTAGTTTCTTTATGATAGTACTTTTATCTTTTTATCCATTAGAAAGACATATTCTTTGATGTTTTTGAGCTTGACCTGGAGAGTCATTCTTTCCTTATAACATATCACCTTGATGTATCTTGGGCTGGTATTGTGTTTTCCAGCTTCCCCATTGGAAATCTGGACCAGCCATTTAGAGCTGAGCTGCTTATCTTTGAAGTTTCCAGAAGGTGATGCTTTATTATTATTTTTCATTTCTGCTGGTTACCCTAGGTGTTTGGACCTATAAAAAGAGGCTATATTGTCAGGTAGGAAGAAGAGGGATGTAGAGAGGGTTAGCTGGCATCCTGAACATGCTGGGAGGGAGCCTGATTTGTGTTCATGGCACCACTGATATCCTCTGCCTGCAGGCCCAGATCTGAGGCTCTAGAGTCTGGTGCTATTGTCAATTAAAGAGCACTTCAGGATAGTTCCCAATGGGTAGGCGAGAGGGAGTATAGTCCAAGTCAATTTCTCTGTTCTCCTTACCAAGGTCCAGCACCATGGGAGAAACTCTCCTCTTTGGGCTTTACTTGGGCCAAGGGCATGTGCATTCACACTGTGTTCTGCCCTCTGCAGAGTCCTGGTTGGGCTGGTGATCCGGTGGTCTCTCCCCAGACTGCCACCTCCACACATCTCTCTACCCAACATTATCACATAATCGTGGGTCTCCTTGGTGTCCCTTCCAGTGAAGTCTGTGCTGCCTCTGAGTTGTAGAGGGGCTTCAGCCTCAACTTTGTGCCATGTGTTTTCCAAGAGCATCCTTTTCCTGGCTAATTGTGTTTTTTCTCCAGATTGGAGTGATCAACATCCCCTGTCAGCATTTCGTTATGTCATACCATTGGTGTTGTGATTGTAATTTTTTATACATTTTATAATTTTTTAAAGATTTATTTATTTATACAAGAACTGGGGTACAGGCCAGATGTGTGGGAGGGTGAGAGGATTCACCAGAGACAGAGCAGGAAACAGAACAGGCAGACTGACTGAACTACACTGCTGAGAGGAGCAGTGGGCGAGACAGGGAAGGTCTGTTCGCCATGTGGGCTGCTCCGAGGCCAGCGGGGATCGAACACGCACTGCAGAGACTGCAGACAGCCTCACAGCGCTGTGCTCAAATGCCTGTGCCACCAGGGAGGCCGCTTTTTTATGTTTTTGATGATTTTTTTAATAATGATGATGAATAACATTTCAAATGTTTATTTGCAGTTTACATTTCTTCCTATTAAGCAGAAAACTTTTTATTCAAATATTTTGCAATTTCCAATCAAGCTCCTGGTTTTGTTGTTGTTTTGAGATTTCTTTATCTAGTCAGCATGTTAGTTACTTATCAGAAAAATGATTATTTCTTTCACATGTGACTTATCTTTACATTGTTTATCAGAAATCTCAGTCAGCATTTCTTTTTTGAATATATGACTTACTGTTTTATGTATTCCTCTAAGAAACCTTGGTCTAATGATAGGTGATCTCTACTTTCTTCTAGAAGTTTGGGTTATGTGGTTATGGGCTATATGGTTTTATGAGTTACATGGTTGTCTATGTGGTCATATGTGAGTTATAGGGGTCTTTGATTCATAGTACATTAATATTTGTAAATAATTCAAGACATGGGTTATCACGCCCCTTATGGATTGTTGGATTTAATTTGCTTGCTAACGTCTATCATTTTTCCTGTCAAGTTTCTTTCTAGAGAGGTTTTTAACCATAGTTAATTGATAAAGGGGTATAGGCAACATGTTTCTTATTGAATGAGTTCTGGTAGTTTATTTGTTCATTGCATCTAATATTTTAAATGAGAATTTTGTAAGAAGAATATAGTTGGGTCTTTTTCATCCATTTTGACAATCACTGCCTATTAAATAGTTTATATCAGTTAATATTATCATTGTTCTAGTTTCTTCACATTCTGTCTTTTGCTGTTTTTGATTGGATCTGCTCCTCTTTTCCCTTCTGTAATGCATTATTTTGGATTAATTCAGTGTATTTTATGATTCAAGTTTTTTGGTTTGTTGCATTATTACTACAGTTGTCCTTTTTGGTTATTTTAATGTTTGCTGACATTTCTAGTTTGCATTTTAAGTTATCAGTCTACTCTCAAATGGTATTTCAAAAATATTTTATACATTTGAGGGCCTTACTACAGTATATCTCATTTTCCCTCTACAATTGTCATTATGATCACACATATGTGCTAGTCCATAATACAATATTATTGTTGGTAATTTTAATATATCATTTGGAGATATTTATATAACCACAACTTGGTTACATAATTATTATTTGGTACTCCTCAGTCCATTGTGG